CCCGCGCCAGATGCGCCAGATGCGCCAGATGCGCCAGGTGCGGGCTCCGCGCGCGCAGGATTGCAGTTGCGCTGCGGTCTCCCTCCTCCTCCTGGAAACGCCATTCCCGCCGCATTGCAGGGACGAACTCAGCCTCCTGGAGTTCACGGAAACCCAGTCCCGGGATCCGTAGGTGCACAACCCCCTGTTTTTCCAGTAAGTTTTCCTCTCGCAGGCTCTCCTCAAACCGCGAGCGCCCGCGCCCAGCCCCCGTCCCTCCCCGCTGGGCTGGACCCGGCTCTCCGCATTAAGAACAGAGGACGGTGAGCACAGGCGAGTACTGAGGGGCGAGTTCAGAGTGTGGGTTCTGCAGCCGCGGCCCAGTTTAAGAGGCCTCCTCTTTTTTTTTTTTTTTTTAAAAAAAGAATTTAAAATTGATTTTTAGACAGAGAGGAAGGGAGAGGGAGAGGGAGAGGGAGAGGGAGAAGAAGAGGGAGATAGAAACATGGATGAGAGAGAAACACGAACCAGCTGCCTCCTGCACGCTCCCCACCCGGATTGAGCTGGAAACCCTGACATGTGCCCTGACGGGGAATACAACCCGCAGCCTTTGGGTGCCAGGAGGATGCTCAACCAACTGAGCCACACTGGCCAGGGCAGGAGGCCTTGCTCTTTCCAGCTGTGTGACCCCGAGGAAGGCGCTTCCCTCTCTGTGCCTCAGTTTCCAAATCTGTCAGGTGGAGATGATAACAATGGTGCCTGTTAGACATGACCAGAGGCAGGACGATGGGCCAGGTTCAGAGACTCCCCAGGGCAGGACCTCGCCCCCAGGGTCACCAGTCCTCCCCGAGCACATCCAGCGGATTGGGCCCCTGACCTTTCCTCCCTGGAGATAACATCTGGGCCTCAGTTGTGTTTCCACTCCAGGCCCAGAAAAGCAGCAAAACCAGGCAAGTGACCCAGGGCTGCCTCAGGGCCAGCTGCGTTGACTGATGACCCCCCCACCCGCCTGGCGCTGACCAATCAGCAGAGACCGTGACCCGGAAAGAGCTCCCCTGGAAAGCGGATGAATGCTCTAGTCCAGTGGTTCTCAACCTTGGCTGCACATTAGAATCACTTTGGAATCTTTGTAAAATCCTGATTTCTGGGCCTCATCCTCCAGAAATTCTGTTTCTTTGTTACTAATGTTGTGGCCTCACCCCATAACAAAGAAACAGAATTTCCGGAGGATGAGGCCCAGAAATCAGGATTTTAGAAAGATTCCCAGGTGATTCTAATGAGCAGCCAAGGTTGAGAACCACTGCCCTAAACGATCTATTGATGCTCTAACCCTCAACATGTGACATTCTTTGGAAATGGGGTCATTGCAGATGTAACTAGTTGTGATGAGGTCATACCAGAGTAGGGTGGGCCCTAAATCCGTGACTGGTGACCTTATAAGAGGACCATGTGGTGAGAGAGAAGGGAAAAGCCATGTGAAGACAGAGGCAGGGGTTGGACTGACGCGGCCACAGGCCCAGGAGCACCAGGGAAGTACCAGAGGCTGGAAGAGGCGAGGGAGGACCCCCTGCAGGTCTCCGGGGCCAACGGCCCCATTGACACTTTGATTTCAGACTACTGGCCTCTAGATCTGTGGGAGAAGAAATGTATGGTTTTTATAAAAACATTTTAAATTATTTATTTACTTTTAGAGAGGGAGAAACGGGGGAGATAGATAGATAGATAGATAGAGAGAGATACATTGATCAGTTGCCTCCCGAACATGCCCCAACTGTGGATTGAACCCACAACGTAGGTATGTGCCCTGACTAGGAATCGAACCTACAACCCTCTGGTGCACCAGATGATGCTCCAACCAACTAAGCCACCCTTTGCCAGGGCATATATTTCTGTTGGTTTAAACTACCCAGTTATGGCACTTTGATATGGGAGCCCCAAGAGACCAATACACCCTCCCCCCTCTCCTCTCTCTCTCTCTCTCGCCAGCCCCCACCCATGCACAAATTTGTGCACCGGGCCTCTAGTCCTATATAATAAGAGAGGAATACACTATCTGTTATGCTGTAATGTCACAACCAATCTACAAGTGGTGGAGAGCTACAGGAAGGCGGGGCATCGAGCTATGAACACAGAGAGCTACCAGCGGCGGTGGGTGGGTGGCCAGCTGAGAGAAGCAGCAGCAAGCTACTAGCACACGGATTTGTGCGCAGTGCTACTAGTATATATATAAAAGTCTAATATGCAAAGTGTCCCTTCGGGAGTTTGACCGACCAGTTCGATCACTTGCTATGACGTTCACTGACCACCAGGGGGAGGCGTGGAATGAAGGCAGGCCCTGGCCAGCAGCCGGCAGCTGCTAGGGACTCTACCTGTGCATAAATTTCATGCACTGAGCCTCTAGTGTATACATATATATATATATAGAGAGAGAGAGAGAGAATAAGGTTCTCTCACAACACCAAGGTAGTTGTGGAAATCAGGAAATTCAGCCTGAGCGCCACCAGGTGTCGGATCCGCAGTCCACGCTCAATATGGTCCATGGTCCTAGTCATGTCCTTCGGAGCTGCTGTCTTTTTCCGGGATTCAATGCAGAATCCTGTGTCACTCAGTCGGCACAACTTTCTCCCTCCTTCACTCTGCAGCTCTCCCCGTCTGTCCTTGGTATATATGATACAATCTTTCGGGAGGACCATTAGCCAGAGTGGTTCTGTGTGGAGGCTCTGGACCTGGCTGCTTGGGTTTGAGTTTTGGGTTGGCTCTTATTAGCGGTGGAGGTGGAAGGGGGAGTGAATCCAGTTGCATATTCAGCCAAATGGTGTTTCTGGGCAGGCGCTATGAGCAGGATCTTGTTCTAGACCCCTTAGATGCAGCCTCCAATGGGACAGACTGCCCAATGTGGTCTCAGCCCCCCTTACCCACTCTCAGAGCCCCTGGCACTGCTTTTATTTGCATTGCTGTCTGCTGGACTCTTGGATGTGCTCCCAGTGTTAGCATAGGACTTGGAGCAGAGCTTGGAACATAAATATAAACATACTAGAGGCCCAGTGCACAAAATTCGTGCACTGGGGGGCGGCGTGTGGGAAGGGGGGCTCCCTCAGCCTGGCATGCACCCTCTTGCAGTCCGGGACCACTCAAGGGATGTCCACCTGCCGGCGGGCGGACATCCCTCTCACAATCCA